AGTAGTAGTAGTAGTGAAAGAAAGGTAGAGCCATTCACTTTAACTAACAATACATGGTAACACCTGTTTCTTTGTGCTTAAAAACACAGCTGCAGCACATTCTAGACATAGACAGTTTTACTTCTAATCCATCATTTTCATAGAGCTTTTACTTTTTATTTAAAGAAAAGATCAAAATTATTCCCCCATCAGTCCTGTGAGGATTTATTTTCCTGCATATAGCAGCTGTAAACCTGGAAAAACTTGTGGTACCAGCGTTACATCTTTCACTCCATCACCCTCTCTCTGTGAACACCATCAGCCCCCTCTTCACCTGCTGCTTGAGCTGCTGCACCAGTCTGTCTTTCTCCCGCTTCAGCTGAGCCACTTCGTCCTGGGTCTTCTTCTTCTTAGAGGATGACAACTCCAGTAGTGCAATGTTAGCGTCTTTCTCGCTAATAGCCGCCAACAGCGCCTCCTGCCTGTTAGGTGGAGATGTAACAATGTGGCATTTACCCACAAAAGTAAATAGCTCGATTATCATTTATTATTCATTGCACAACATTAGCCTGCCATCTGGGAAAAGCCAGAATTGGATGACATTTTACAAGATTAAGGCGGTGATCAATAATCCAGAGTCTATGCAATCCCACTGTGCGTGTGTGTGTGTCTCTTACTTCATCTCCAGCACCTCCTCCAGGTGTTTCCTGCGCTCGGCTCTCAGGGTTGTGAGGTGAGCCTCTTTCTCACACAGAGACTGCTGAGTGGAGGCCAACTTAGCCCTCATGGACTCAAGCTCCTGCTTCACCTTCTCCATGGCCCCCAGCAGCTCCTCCATCTGGGAACACCGACACACACACATAAACAGCTCAATGATGATTGGAGTGGATTACCTGAAATCCACCAGGGAAAAGGATAGGGCTTTTTTTTTTTTTCAGAAAAGACACTCTGGATGATTTGTCCATCTCTTATAAGAGGGAGGGACAACAGAATTCACGTGGTCTGATGGGAAGGACTAGGGATCAAGACTGGATTTCATTTGCCTGTTATTTAATTTAAACAGGCACTACAGTTATTCTTTATTAAACATTTACTTAATCACAACAGACTGAACAGGGGAATTAATGAATAATTCATGCTCGAAGTAAAAATGTACTTGGCTTTGGATTTCATTAAAGTGAAAACTTTAATGAGCATCGTTTTAAAAGCAAACAGCAGGTAAACAAAGGCGCATAAATTACATGGGCTGGAAACAACACCAACACGTTTCACACACATGCAGTCCCTCCAACAATTACTAAAACTTGACACATGTATCCTGTGCAGGGTTGTTGCAGGAGACTGCATGAACTGTAGAGGTGTTGCTTTTATTGTGTCCACCCCCTGTAAGAGTCGCTGCTCACTGACACATACTGGGCTCATACCTTAGACCACTTAAAGTTGGCGAGGTTGGACTCATGCATTGCTTTGAGTGAGTGCTTCTGAGAGGCGGTGTGTAGCGGAGAAAAAAAAAACAAGAGAAAACGACAAGCAGAGATGAAAGAAGAGGAAGCAAGAGGAGGGACAGGCAGAGAGGGAGAGAAAGAATGAGCGACAGCACAGTGGCAGCAGAAAAAGGCGACAGAGGAAGAACTGCAGTTTCTTTTAACCGTGCGGTGCTGGCTCATAAATATTGCTTTGCGATATCTGTGTGTTTGTGTACCTGTTTCTCCTGAAGTGACCTGGCAGCCTCCTCCTGTGCGAGCACCATCTCTCGCTCAGCAGTGATTTGAACGCTCTCTCTCAAGGCCTCCTCCAGCTCCTCTATGCGCTCTGTCTTTTGCCGTAAAGTGTCCTTCACAGTAGAAGAAGGAAGGAGATGTCATATTCGCCCAGTTGTACCCTGACTGAGAAAGGCAGTAGCATTCCTACAGAATTTGCACAGTGCAGATCATCCACAGGCAAGCCTCACCTTCACCTGCTGGGAGTTCTCAGACATGTTGTCTTCCCTCTTCCTGGCTTCCTCCATAAGTCGAGCATTCCTGCTCTTCTCCACCTGCTCTTTGTGCTTCAGTGATGCCACCTTCTTCGACTGATCCTTCATTTGCCTACAGGAAGTCAGTTACATTAGATATTCTATTTGGAGCAAGAGGACAAATCAGACCTCATTTTGGGCTCCACTTCCTCTAGAACAGTGAAAATGTGTCTTACACACAAGTGAACAGCAAGCATTTTCAAGATATAGCGCTGTATTTTACCACACTGAGCTTACTTAGATGGCTTATCCATAACTAAATAAAGGAACTCATGCAAATAAAGTCATGGGACCAAAAACAAATATTGTATATTAGGTATGTGCTTGATGACTCAGACATTCCCACGTTACAATTTCTAGGTCATTAATTGTTGTACACCAAGTAAATGTAGTTGATACAAATATGGACATAAAGAGGTATAATTTGCCATTTTAAACAAACATTCACAATCTTACAGACTTGCTTGGGTGAGATTTCAGGCATCATTTTGACTTTGAGTGAAAAAACAAACAAACCAAAAGCAAAAAAGGAAAAATGAGCCTGAGCAGAAGTAAGAAAAAGACAACTGCTTGCCGCTCCACAGGAAATTTAGGAAGAGAGAGAGAAAAATGTGTCAAGGTGAGGAGGAGAGAAAAGCATTGTCACTAACCTTGAGGCCAAACTGGCGGGGTGGGAAATTTCCAATGAAAAGACAAGAAAGCAGTAAAGAGAAAAGCAGACTCAGACTAAGAGAATAAGCAAACATGGAGAATAAGACAGAAGGGGTGGCACTCATAAAATATCAGCTCACGGATTATGCAGCATCTTTTCTGGATCTAACAAGGTCATGTTACACAAAATAATAATAAAACAATTGCAGAAACATGAAAAGAAGTTGCCTGTTGCTAAGCATGTCAACACTGAAACAAACCACCTCACAAAACCTCAAACACCAGCTTTCAAAGCACTCCTGCCAGGATGTCAAATGGCAGAAAGCCAATTTAGACTGCTTTTAATGTGCCAGCCACAACAGTCTCTACAGCGATACCACGTCAGATGTTTACATCGCATGTGACGAACAAAGGTCAGAAGTCCCGGAGACAAATTGTGGACCTACATTATACCTCATTAAATACTTGTTATACACATTTATATGGTGCATCCACCCTTGAATATCCACCACATGTACAAATGCACACTGACAAGATCCACAAACCCACCTCTCCAGCTCATTAATCTTTTTGTCTTTGTCATTTTTCTCGTTCTCCATTTCTCTGAGTATCTCCAGGAGGCGGTCCACTTCAGCTTGAGCTTTCCCAGAATCCTCTCTGTGGCGGGCCACTTCCTGTTCGAGGTTCCTAATGCGCTCAGCCAGCTCGGTGTTGGCTTGAGCTTCCAATGCTGCATTCTGAGCCTGATGGAGAACAAAGGCTGTAGTTTAGACATCTCAGGCCACGTGAGGTGCCTGAAGCTTTATTTAATGTATTTGTATTTAATGTATTTCTCACTCTCTTAAGTTGATTCTCCAGTTTGAGGCACTCTTCCTTCTTCTGTTCCAAGGCAATCTCAAAACTCTTGAGTCTGGAGTCTTTCTTCAGCCCTGAGGAGGCCAGGGAGGATGCGTGCTCCTTTAGGTCCAACAGAGAGGTCTGTGTGCGTACACACACACACACACACACACACACACACACGTAAAGGTGAATCCATTCCAGCTTTGACTAACAGAGCATCAGACTGAGAATACATTAACACCAATGCAGGCATCCATGACTCAGTGCAAAGTTAGGACTAACAGGGGGGGGAAAAAACAACAAAAAACTGATGCCCGTGTCTGACAGCACTGTTTTACTATATTAATAGAATCACAGTAAACAAAAGTTTGCCTGTGTGTTTTTTGCATACGTTTCTCACCTCTCTGTCTGACAGGTCTCCCTGCAGTAAGCTCAGCCTTTCCTTGAACTCTTTCAGCTCCTTTTTGGTACATTCAAGCTCCTCCGTCTTCTCCCGGTCGTCTCTATCTCTCTGCTCTTTTAGACGCTCGATGATCCGCTCCTATAAAGAGGTGGAGGAAAGAATCAAGCAAGATTCTTATACAGATTATCAACCAACATTTGTTTATTAATACAGATGGACTAATACAAGTCTGCAGAAATTAATCCACCTTTTCTGCAAGAGATTCCTCCAGTGTTGTGAGAGCAGTGTCAGTATTGGAAGTGTCAGCCTGCAAAGACTTTACTCTCTCCTTCAGGCTGCTCATCTGCTTCTCCTTGTCCCTCAGCTGTTCCTGCAGGTTCTCGATCTGCAGTGAAAACACAAGTAACCATCAATAAAATTGATCTTGCGTTGGACACATATTGCCATTTCAAAAACAAGATTGCACTATTCTCTGTTAAAGTCACCTTCTTCTGAAGCACATTGATCTTGCGCTCCTTAACCTCCAGCATATCCTTAAGGTCGTGGATTTCCCCATTGAGGGTTCCCTTCTCCTCTGACATTTCTTGTATCTGCTTGCTCTTTTTATTCAAAGTTGCTTCCTTCTCTTCCAAACGCAGGCGCAAGGCATCCACCTAGATAGACAAGATGGGTTAGCAGTTTACGGACATGAACTACAGACGTGTCCTGCTACAAGTTAAAAATGAGTGTGGACAAAAGCAAAGATTTAAACTTCTGAGGAAGATTTCAGAGCGGTGTTGTGTTTCTGAGATAAAAATACTATTATTTTACTATTTCCATGTCATTGTTTATTCAGTACCTATCAATGTTTTGAGATACGAGGTGCGCCTGTTTATCCAGATTTAAAAAAAAAATAAAAAATCAAGCTTGGTTCAGGAAAGAAAAAAAAAAAAAGAAGAAGCAGCTGCACAGTCACCCAGTTAAATTATGCAATTGGTGTGAATGGTTATGAGTCTGGTGTGTAAAGGCCTCTACAGTCTATACCAGGTGTCAGCAACCTTTAACACCCAAAGAGCCATTTGGACCCGGTTTCTACAGAAAAGAAAACACTGGGAGCCGCAAATACTTTTTGACATCTAAAATGAAGATAACACTGTATATATTGTTTTTTTTACCTTTATGCTTTGTATGAACAACTATAGTGTGTTGCTTATGAAATCCATGAAGTGCTACGGAGAAAATTTAATTTTATTTATGTAATGAACACATTTTCAACCCTTAAAAAAATAATAACAACAAAGAAAGTCAACCAGTTGAAGGTCTCTTTTAAATGAATTAAAAAGCTGAACTCAAATTATCCATGTAGCAAACAAAAACAGTGAGCCGTCATCCTTATATCACCTTCTGGGCTATCAGAGTGTAGCGGAGCCTTGACCAAAATTTAAAAAAAATAATTGGAAAAAAGCACCATGCTCCTAAAAAATTTAAAATAAATATTTTCAAAGTATCTGCATAATATTTATTTTACCTGGTTAATGTGCTTTGCGGGGCGTGGCCCGCAGTGCCGCTGCAGGAGAGGCAGACGTACCTGAGTGGCATCCGCAATCACGCCTCACCGGCTTGTTCTCTCTGCCGTTGTTTGTATGTGTCGGGCTGTGAGCTGCAAAGCTACAGCCGGCTGCGTGTGTGAGAAGTGGTCAATAAAGAGATGCTGAAGAGCATGTTCATGTAAACATCGTTGGGTCTGCCGTGATATGTTTACAATCGGACTTCTGCTCCTGAACCTCTGCACACAGCGTCTGCTGTACGATCGGGGCTGTACAAAGTCACTTTCATCTTTACGCAGGACTGTAAGCTGTTATCTGTGAGGCGTGAGCGGTGTTTGTTTTTAACATAGTTCATGGTGGAGAATAGCTGTTCACATACGTATGTGGATCCGAAGATCGACACTCCACAAATTAGGCATACTGTTAGGCCACTCTCGTCAGAAGTAAATACAAATGAATCTGCCCAGGCATCATTAAATGTTGTATTTTCTTCAGATATTTTTCTTTTCTTACATTTCTCCATACTTGGCCTACGTGGGGCTGAAGGTCTCGGTAAATGCACGTCGTTTCGGTGGGTATACCGGCTTCCACTAGTGTGACGCTTATTTTGAGCGACGAAAAATAATAAAATATAACTTTATTTTTATATTTCAAGATCAGAATAATCTTTCGATTTAGAACTACAAGTTTTAAAAAAGAACTAATACAAATAAAATACACTTCAGTTAAATACTTAGAATTTATTTTTCCAAACCATGCAGAGCCTCAATATAAGGACTAAAGAGCCGCATACAGCTCCGGAGCCGCAGGTTGCCGACCCCTGGTCTATACCAATACAGTGGGTGAGAAAGTATGGATACTCTACCTCCGTCTGTAAGATGGCAGCCCGCTGCTCTTTGGCAGTGAGGGATTCCTTGAGGACTTCAATGTGTTGCTTGCTGTCTGAGAACTGGTTGGTAAGCGTCTCCAGTTTTGTCTGCAAACCGAGCAGCTCGGTGTCCTTCCTGGAGAGGTCCTGCTTCACCTGCTCCATCTGAAAAAAGATTAGCCCGAGTGCAGAAAGAAAGAGGAAGGGTTGGACAAATTGTAAAATGGTAAATTGATTCTTATATAGCGCCTTTCTACTGGCGGAGCACTCAAAGCACTGTATACAACGTGGCTCACTCACCCATTCACACAATGATTTTCTATCTACCAATCACAGACATTCAAGTTGGGATTAGTCTCTTGACCAAGGATACTTGGCATGCAGATCAAACCACCAACCTTCTGATCAGTAGCTCTACCTCCCGAGCTACAGCTACCGTGAGAAAAAGGTGGTTTCTAGAGTTTTATGTGTGAACACAAAAAAAACATAAGAATTATCACACAGTCTCTGACCTTGTTCTTCATGAACTTGGTGTGACTGCGGTAAACCTCCATCTGCTTCATCTCTTCTTGACGCTCTTCACAGCTCAGAAGTCCATTCGATTTCAGCATTAGCAGCTCCTCCTCCATGTCCCTGAGGCTCCGCTCCATTGAGTTGATTTTTGCATCCTGGAGTTGATGGAAAAAGGTTATCACCAATAACATGTTGTCACCAATACACTATAAACACACACACATTTCTCCATCTAAATGTTCACCTTCATGTCAATGACAGTTTGTAGGGCCTTAGTTTTGGTGGACTCTGGAGTTCCTTCGTACCGACGGTGCAGCTCCTGCTGTGTCAGATGTAAAACACGGTTGATGAATATCGATATCTTACCAATCAAACCAAATATGATGAAAAGCCTTAAAAGTAATGCATGCCAAAATTAATAAACTGGAGATTACCTCTCTCAGAGCAGTGATCTCCCTGTCTCTCTGGTCCAGCAAACTCTCAAGGTGATGCCTGTGCATTTCTGCATCAGCCAGTCTCCTTGTCCTCTCCTGGTCCTCCTCTGATGCCTTGGCAGATGGTCCTAACACAGCAAAGATAACAACTTGTTACAATTGTGATGTATGTAAAAAGACTACTATGAAGTCTAGATGTTTACAACAGCCAACTGTGTGTTTAACTCTCAGAGACAAACAAAGAAACAAAAAGCACACAATTGTTTAGCAGGTAAGGATATCTGAGGATAGACTCTGCACATCTACTATAAAAGAAAAACCAAACAAACAAAGCACACAACATTGAACCTAATGGGCAGTGTAATTTAACTTACTGAACCCCTGAAGCCTTAAAAACCTGCCATCCTAAAAAAAAAAAAAAAACATAGCAGGGTCTGCGAATGCTGAGGGAAGTAGTGTGCAGAGGTCACCAACTTTCTGCAGAGTCAGTCACTACAAACCTCCAAACTTCATGCGGCATTCAGGTTAGCTCAAGCTTCATGGAATGGGTTGTCATGGCCAAGCAGCTGCATCTAAGCCTTATATCACCAAATGCAGTGCTATAACGCACGCCGCCATTGGACTCTAGGGCAGTGGAGATGTGTTCTCTGAAGTGATGAATCACGCTTCGCCGTCTGGCAATCTGATGGTCTGGGTTTGTGGATGCCAGGGGAACGGTACTTGTCTGACTGCATTGTGCCAAGTGTAAAGTTTGGTGGAGGGGGTATTATGGCATGGGGTTATATTTTAGGAGATGGGCTCTGTTGCAGCATGATTCCGCAGCAGTACACAAACCAAGGTGCAAAAAGACACAGATGAGCGAGTTTGGTGTGGAAGAACTTGACTGGCCTTCAGAGTCCTGACCTAAACACGAGAGAACACCTTTGGGATAAATCAGAGCGGAGACCTCAGTGTTTGACCTCACAAATGTGCTTCTGGAAGAACGGTCAAAAATTCCCATAATCACACTCCTAAACCTTCTGGAAAGTATTCCCAGAAGAGTTGAAGCTGTCATAGCTGCAAAGGGTGTGCTGACATCATATCGTATGAATAAGATCGTATGTGTTTGAAAGCAGACGAGTGAATGTTTTTGGCAATATAGTGTAGTTTCTGGCTCTAAAAACAAGCACCAAAGGTAGAAGTGCCTTAAACCTGCCTATCTATTCTATCCCTCCAAGCAAATTCCCCCTTAAATATTTCCCTTGTAATTACTGTCATCTATTAGACTCAAAAGGGAGGATAAAGCAGGATATGATTTAGCCTTGAGACTGATAAGTTGCTAACCTGTGATCATACAGTCATCTTCAGATTCACCGCCTCACTCATGTCCAGTTTAAAAACAAGATGACGGTCAGTTCGAAGACTTCCCAACAGAACTTTGTAACTTTGTTAAGCAACAGGTGACATTATGGAGGTGACATCCATCTTTTACATACAGTCTGAGTGTTTCACCGCACCTGTTATAGGACACCAACCGTTCTGGGGACTGGCCTGAGTGTTTATATTGTGCAAAAAAAATCTAGTTATGATTGCCCTGTTAAAATGAGCCCAGAGTGAGTACATATGTGACAGGAGTTTAAAAGAAAGCCCCAAAACTGCTGAGGGTTCAAAGGGTTTAAGCTTTTTCTGGAAGGAGTTTTAGGTTTCTTTTAATTTCATGTACCTTTGGGCTCTTCAGATTTCATGTCCTTTGTATTTACACCCTAGGGAAGACGGCATGTAATTACTTTTTAAAAACACCTGTGCACAGGCTTGGAGTGTCTTTAAGCTCCTGCTTGAGTTTAAAGGAGAAATCATGTCTAGAAAATGGAGCAGTGAATGCCACAATTGACCTACAGCTGTGTGAGCATTAAAGGAGCTGAGGAAAATAGGCTGGGACACAGTGATAACCTGAGACCTACTGAGTAATAAAATGTTAATGGATGAATATGGTTGGCCTAGAGTTTCAAACGGTTTATTTGTTTCCCAGTGAACCCTATACATGAACCAGAAGACACACAACAAACAGCTAAACAGTCATTAATAATCAATCAACTGTAAACTTCATTAAACTATTTGGATTTTCCCTGCTTAAACCCACCTTTGCTCTGCAGCATTTCCAGTAGTTTCTTGATGGACTCATCTCTGGCTGCCAGGGTCTGCTTCTGTGTGTCAATCCTCAGCTCCATCTCCTCCAGGGTCTTCCGAAGAAGGAAGAGCTCCTTGGCCTGCCTCTCATGCTCACCCTGTAGCCGTCGATAGTTCTCCTCTGTAGGTTCGGATGTCAGGGCCAGGTCCCTTCCTTGACTAGCAGGATCTTGCTGGAACAGCTGGTTCAGGTCCCTCTGGATCCTTAGCTCATCTTGGAGAGCCTGAACAGTCATCTGAAGATGCTAGGGACAGAGGAGAGACGCACATATAACTGCTGACAATTACTGGTTCTACTCTTTGCTCTCTAGCCTTTATTGCAAGGCTATTTATATGACAAGGGAGACGAGGTGAAAATTTTATTGATTTTATGAATGATGCACGGGCTACTTTCTGGGAATGGCTCCTGGTAGAGTATTGCGTTGCATCCAGCCAAACAAAAACTAATCATAACTCAAAATTTAGCAGCGCCACAACTTATAGATCCAAAACATGGAGGCTTTCTGAGCATTGTTGCAATTCATGGCCAGAGAGATGCAAGTGGTGAAACACAATAAGCCCCGTATAGTATTGCATTGTTTGTGGCATCTGACGCCACAGACTCTTGGCAGAGTTGCTGTGAGACAGTAACACAAGGCTGTGTTACACTCTGGTCTGAACCAGCTGCGAGCATTTTCAGATGACAGAACAAAGAGAGAAGTCAGTGTCTGCCTCCCTTCGTATCTCTCCATCCTCCACCTCCCGTGCCCCCTCCCTTTCCTTCCTTTGTTATTCCCTCCTTCTCCTTCCACCAGCAGTCTACACTCCTTCTCTACCTCCCTCTGATACTCTCACCCCTCTTCTCACTAACCATCCCTTTCCATCACCCTCTCCACCCCGTGACTAAGGCTGACTCACTGCTGTGACTGCACCGATCCACCCCCCCGACACAACAGACGCACACACATGGGGAGATGCATGTACGGACAAGAACTGACACACACACACACACCTCCCTTCCTCAGCCCCCATATTCTCACTCTCTTCTGAAAAAGGACAAGAGTTAGGTGTCTGAAAAACATTGCGGTTATATGATGCACTTTCTAAATTGATATAACAAGAAGTCAACACATCATCTACAGCTTATCTTCCACACTGGATATTGTGATACAAACATTTTTTGTAACTTAACTCTGTGGCACCGGCATCACCACATCCAATAATTAAACATCTTTGGCAAATCTCACAGAAAAAAGCAGCGTTTAATCAATGTGGCAAAGAATCATTAACAAAAAATAACTGGTGATTATTCTATTATTATCTGACTTAATGTAGGGGATGAAGATGGTTTAACACAAGATTAACACTACAACATATGCCAGTATATAACATTAATATTACAACAGCAAACAAAACAGAGGAAGAACAAAGCAGGGGAAGACTGGCCTGTGGTATGAATTGGGAAACACTGTGTTCAAATTCAAAGTAATCCATTTAAACATATGCATAAAAATTTAGACATCTGCTTAAACAGCTTTACGTGAAACTTAAAGAAATGCCCTCCAATGAGAACCTGAAGGGAGGCAGCTTACTCTTACAGACAAAAAGCAAGTAGCAATAATTTAAATCATATGCTTTTAAAAGCAAGACAGGATTCAAGTTATAGTTAAGTAGCATTCCTCTCATTTTTCTGCAAGCTGAAAATCATTCCATTCACACCACCTACACCTCACAATTTTTAAAAGCGATAACTAATTAAAAATATCCATGGTTAAATTTCTGGCAGTTTATTTTCTCGACAAAACTAAAATCATATTCAGTCAACCTTTTTTTAGTTACTCTCTGGTCACCTCCTTAAAATGGCTCCACCTGCCCACTTTAAGAACCACCAACGTAAAGTTATCTTTAGGCCTAAGACTAAGATCTAGGCAAGTAGTAGTTAGGGTTAAGGTTATAGTAAGTAAATGTAATAATAAGCGTAAGTTAATGCAAAGAGTCAGTACACTGCTGTGTGCATGTTTGCGTGTCCATGCTTTCCATTGCACGTGTGCCAGTGTGAGAGGCGGAGGCAGACATACAAAAGCAGACATCTTTAAATTAAAGCACTCGCTGATTACGCAGTGCTAGTCAGGCATTACTGGGAATTAGTCCAGAGTGTGATTCTGTGACTCAGCAGGAGTGAAAACAGCAAATTATACAGGCCTGCCCACCCATTAAGAACCACAGTGAAACAAAGACGATGCCTCTTCATTAACGAAACCCAATTTGCACGAGCCCAACAACCTACCGTAGAGTATTTAAAAAGACCTTATCTGCACTTATCCAATTACACTTTTAGATTTTAAACAATAGAACCATCCTATGCAAAGTTTGTCGACACTACACTTATTTATTAAGAAAGAGGGAGTCGAGACAGAGCACAAAACAGAAATACCTGCTTGGATGAACTCTTATTTAAAGGTGCCAAAATATGTCCGGTGTATTGCTATATACTCAGTTTTAACAGGTGTAGGTCACAAAGGTGTGATTGCTTCACTAAAATGTTGACAAAAAATTTAAAAAGAGAGATTTGATAAAATCTTCAATTGCATCTATGCAGTATGTGATGTTTAGTGCTTAGTTAAACATCTAAACACTAATCATTACATACTGCATAGACGCAGTATTAGTAAATTGTAAATTGCACTATTTGCAAAGCCCTCCTTTATTATTGCTACCTTTTGTAATGTTCTCATCTCTTTTTTTTTTCCTCGCACATTTTTCATCCTGTTCCTCAGATGAGACTTCCACCCTCTTTCATCTAAAATGCACAAGCATATAGCTGCATATAAGAGGATTAACTAGATGCTCAAAAACTGTCACTAACCTATGCAGAGAGAGAACAAAAAGAGAAAAGCATTTGTACTAAAGCAGACACACTGCTTGAAATGCTTTTTTCCCCCCTTCCCAAACATGTTAAGCTCTGGAAGTTTGGCAAATTTATCCAGACTGAGAGACATCATATGATGAAATTAGAGGGAAAAAACCCCAAAACAAAACAAAAAAAAAAACAGAGGCTAAAAGTCTATTTAAGCATTAAACAACGCTCACCTGTGCTTCATCTTGAATAACACGATACTGTTCCTTCCAGACGGCGATCTTGGATGCCTCATCTTTCCTGAGAGCTCGCTCCTTTTTTAATTCTGGACTCCAGAAGGTCTTAATAGAGTTCATGGAGGAGCTGAGTTTGCTTTCCTTAACTTCCACTTCTCGCCGCAGCATCTCATTCTCCCGCAGAACCTGAGAACGCAGGATAAATGGTAGGTACATGACAACCCAACATATGACCGGTGAATGCCATAAATTAACCTCTTCATCAAAATTTCAGAATTGAGAAAATCGTGGGAAAAAACTGGCAAAGTACCTCTTTGAGTTGGGCCTGCAGGTCAAGTATGGTATTGTCCCTTGCCTGCCTTAGAGAATGGGGCACTGTGGAGGCCATGTGGTGATCTCCAAAAGCTAGGGCATCTCCAGCCATCAGGCCTGCTGGTAGCACAGCATTGGCAGGCACTGTGGTGGAGATATTAGGAGTACTTGCTGCTACAACTCCACTGCTGCTACCTCTCGACCCATAAGTCACCCTCTGTCTCCCCATGGTGGTCACTGTGCCACCAGTTTTGGGAAGGTGGTCACCTCCCATGGCGACCTCATTGTCACTCAGGTACATTGGTCCTGAGGTGGCATACGCAGCATTGAGGGACTGGATGTTCTCCATTGAAAGGGTCTTGCCTCCTGCTCCTCCAGGACCTCCCCCACTGCCTCCAGTGCTGTTGGTACGCCGGTGCCCCATCCGAGGAGAACGGGGGAGCCGAGGGGAACGGCCAGATCCCTGATTACCAGTACCACTTCCATCTCTTCCTCCGCTATGGTTTGTATCCCCTCTGCCAACAGAGCGAGCACTACCGTACATTTTTGACTAAATAGAAGGGAGGCACTACCAAATCTGAAGAACAACCCTTAGTATCTGGTTATATTGTCGCAGATTGTGAGGTTGTGAATTTCACTAGTGTTAGAGATCCAGCTTAAACTGGTGAGCACAATGTTCATGATACAACAGAGGTCATGATACAACTATCCACTGTTACAAATGAGGACATCAATCTGCAAAGAAAACACAATTGTTCCCAGTTAACTGCATAGCAACAGTACACAAAATAACACATGAATAAAACAACTGAATGCATGAAAAACTGAAAACAGAGTACCAGTACAGACTGAAGGTTTCACTGTCTTAACTGAATACCTTCCTGCAGTACAGACAGTTACGCAACTGTACACAGTCATGTCTAAGAAGAAAATTCTTCTAGTGAAGGGTCCTTTGGAGCAAAATCTTTGCTCTAATCTACTTGAGGCCAAAGGTAGAAGTGATTTTAGGTTAGCTTTCAACAAAATGTTAATCTTGTAACAAGTACTTTCAGCTCACAACCATATAATTTGCACATATAGTCTAATGTTACAAGGTTTTGGTAGTAGTGTAATGTGTCGAAGTATTCTGACATGTGTGTGTATATATATATGTGTGTGTGTGTGTGTGTGTACGTACATACATACATGTATATATGTCCACCACAGACATTTATCTTGAGTGTGTTTGGCCTTGCTAACTGCTAATGTCACGTTAACACGCCGGCTAACAGTAAAGCATGACACTTGTACCTTCAATGACGCTTTAACCCCGTTTGTTAGCTTCTGAGTTTTATATTCCATTGTGTATTTTGCCACCAGAATAAACGCTGGCTCTCCGATTCATTCTTCTAATTTGCTATCGCTATGGATTAAAACTAGCAAGGGAGGGAAGGAGGGGACTGTCCATGCTGGACATTGTGGGGGGAAAAAAATGTCTGAGCGTGAAAATTTGTATACAAACGGAAATAACAGTTTGTCAGATAGCTGGTTAGATGTTTAATGTGACAAGTTAATCGTGAGTGTCGTCAAAATGTGACACGTTTAACAGGAATCAAAGCTTTTTTCCCCTTTTTTTTTTGCACAATCCCATCGACTCCGTACGGTGTCTGCTTTGGAGACACCCATATCAAACCATATCCATTTTCCTTCTCCTCAGCTCAACGGTTTTTCATTTCAAGCTACGGTTATTCATTCACTGGTTTACATATGTGTAGCTGTGATACTGCTAAATACAAAAGAAAGGGAAATACGTCAAATGCACAAACGCTTAACGTTAGCTCGCCGTTACATATGGAGGCTAGTATATCCAATTTATGTGGTCAAGAAGAACCTTTTTTTCTCGCTAACACAATAGCCACAGAGGAGAAAAACCCTCCGAACAAACTACCTTTGTCGTTCTCTGGTAGAAGTCAAATCCTTGCTAATAGTGGATCCTCTGTCAAAAATAAGTCAGCTGCAAAAATCGCTCATTTTACGTTAATTCCTCGATAAATGTCTATCAGATTTTCCCATCTTTTCACCAGCAGTACCAGCGGCTCAGGAGAGCCAGGGCGCCTCAGTGACGTCAAGCCTCCTGCGCGCGTTCACGGCGGCCTTCCTCGCCACGCTTGGATTTTAAAAGCGCAGTCACGATTCTACGTTAGCGCTTTGGCACGAGCGAGGTGCCCACGGCTGCTCCCGCCCGCTGCTTGTTGAGAGTAAGAGCAACAAGCGCGTTCACGTCAAAAGTCGTCATAAAAAAGCCTCCAATAACACCAGAAAAAGTCGCCAGATTTGTCGCTGGTCGCTTTTTAGAAAAAAAACGACGCAAAGGGGGTTTGAAAACTCCCTAAATATAGCGACAAAATCGCTAAGTTGGCAACACTGTTTGAACTGTTTTCAGGGTATTTAAAAAAATTCAAAACAAAACAAAACCGTGCATCTCAATGGGTATATTCTGAGCATGCGCAGAATTACGCACAGCTGTCCTGTGATCGAACAAAGGATCAAAGGCTCAAAGAGCGCTGACGTCAAATTCGC